CAGCGCGTACAATTGCCTGTTTAAATTGCAGGTTAGCACCCCAAAAATTTAAACTTCTAAGCGGTTAAAATGTAATCATTGCATACATTGCCAGGGTTTGTAGAATTGGTGGAATTGGTGGAATTGGCAGAGGGGTGCGTACCAATATTGGATTGTATGCTCTCCCAACACAGAAGTTGGTGTCGTTAAACAAAAGTTAAATTATGAAAATAATAAAATGAAAAATGTGATTTTCACTCTTTGTGTACTGCTCACAGGGAAAAGGGGTTGTTATTTTATTAGATCTAAGGGGTGACTCTTGATTTTCTATCACTATAATGAAATGTTATAAAAATACTTTCTAGAGCAAACATTTATGTGAAACAATAAGGAAGGTATGCAATCCTTGTTGATAAGTTGCAGAAGCTAAAATGCTATCAAATAAACGCACATAAAAGTGTCTGTCTCGAAATTACACAAAAATGTAGCTGTTGCATATATGAGAAATAATAATAATAAAAAGAAAATTTTTATTTAAATAATTATTGTTTAGATAAAATTTTTACACATACAAATTAACATACATTATTTCATAACTGTAATTTAATTTAAATTTTTATGTCCACAGGGAAGAATCTATAAATAGAAACTAAGGTTATAATAATTTCTATAAAATGATGTAGGTGTTTTTTAGATCATGCAAAATATTTTGAGTTGCAGCAAAATATATCTGCAACTATAACTAATCTACAACTTTCTTTATTTTTCTCAAATCATTATTTAAATAAAATATAATACTTATAGTATTATAATATTTATACTATATTTAAAATACTTATTATTATTATTATATTATTTTAAAGTGGATTTTCACGTCTATATGACAGTAGTGACTATTTTTACTTATTAGAAATAGAGAGAGATGTTGAAAAGTAGTGAACTACATTGAATTTTTGGCTGACCATACAGCTGTTAGGAATATTGTCAAATTTCTGTCATTAGTGGTCTTTAAATTATTTCTTATATTTAATTATTTGTAAATAATTTTTTGAAACTGTAGGTATTAAGAGTTGAACTCGTGCCCTGCCAAATTTGAAACACAAAGTCAGTGTTTATTAGTCAACTGACCCAAAGCCGTACTTGACTTGTATGTTCGAAAATTTTATTAAATAAAATTATATGAAAAGGAATTTATATTGGAAAGGTACGAATAGTAACGAAGAAACAATAACAAAAATGTTGATTAATTGAAAATTTGGCTGATCATACAACGCTATTTCGAGTATTGCCAAATACTCATCATCACTGGTTTTAGGAAATATTTGAATTTTTTTTAATTAGTTTAATAGTTAAATCAGCAACGATGACTATCGTCTTTTTCTACAAGTTGCCAAGGCTGCACTGACTTTTAATGCTCAAGTTCTAAGTTTTTTATCACAAGAACGAGCTCATAAACAATAGCTTTAATTAAATACAAAAGTCCAACGAAATAAAAGTTACTTTTGTGGTTGCCTATTTATTATTTCAAAGCTATACTTTTGCAGAAATATTTTTTTTTCATTTATCTAAAAATCTAGTTTATAGTATTCATATTTCATGTATTCCAGTTCTATATTATAAAAGTTAAAATCTTTAAAGCTTACAAAGTTCTCTGATTCTTAATATAGCTAATCGAAAATGTAAAAAAAGTATTTTCAAAAACAGATATAAAGACTATAAATATTTAAATTTGGTTTTCGAAGATTCAATTTTAAACAACACTTCCGTCAATATTCCTTAAAGGCTTATAATTAATTAGTTGTCAAATACTACCTGTTTCCTTTTTGATGCCGCCAATACGAGTTTTACTTGCCACCAGCCGCAAACCAACCGGCACCAACCACTTCTCACTTTCTAAGCGCCCAGTTTATTAACGGAAAACAATCTTGATTAATGGCGGCAAACACACTTCCCAACGGAAATTAATCATATGAACAAATAATTGAATAAAATTTTCAAAATTCACAATGAAGCTCATTAACTGAACGTACCCGTTTGTGTGTACGTAGTACGTACCACGTACATATCTACTATAAAACTCAGGGGAGTTTCCTTGTCTAATATGTGTACTACATAGCTATCCACACACCCCTGTAGTTCCACACCTATTCATCCCAGTTTCATTGTGTTTGTTTGCATACGTTTATTTGTATAAACTCTCATCACTTAAAAATATTAATATCCTTTTATTATGTTTAAGGCGAATGCCAATGCCAGTTAAATTTGCTTAGAGACATTTAATTGAGAGTAAAATGCTTTTGATGTTTTGAAAAATATTATTTAAATAGCACAAAATAGTTTGTTTAATTAAGCTTAATTATCCTTTGATAAATGGTTTGTAATATAAATAGAAAATTTTATTTATATAGCACTTTTTCATGTGGGTCTGGAATCGGAGTAGCTTAAATTTAAGTCCACTTAATTTGTTAATCCATTAATCGTAAAGAGATTTTTGAAGGAAGATTCTATTAAGTGTTGTTGAAAGGAATTTATGGATATGAGATAGCATAATATAAGTAAGTACATATGCTGTTATTATATATTAAAACAATGTTTGCCCAGTTCGGTACCTTGCTAAATGCACAAAGGAACTACAACTGTGTTATATTTTTTGTCTATAATATATGAAGCAGTGCTGACAATTAATTTGCTTATGTTTGTATACAGATTTTTATAAAATAAAATCATGAAAAACTCAGGTCACTTCCTGAAATAATAACTAAATTGAATGTTACTTAAAGTTGTTCATCATCGCGATATGTAGCTTGCGAGCTGACGACCTCCTTATAGATTTCCTTATTATAAATTATTTGGTAATTTTTAGCATATAGTATTCCATAACAGTAACATATATTGAAACTAATAAACAATAATAAATCTCAAATACAGTTATTAGGTTAAAGTCCTTTTCAATCACAATTTTTTTGTATTTAGAACTATTTACTCCACAACAACTCCCAACATGGTGTTTCCAATATAATAAAAATATTAATGAGCGGATTTTCAATGCTGGTATTATCATATTCTGGAAGAAATAACCTTAGGGATAAGTATCATAAGTATCATATTATTTATCTCATTATTTCCCTAGAATACTGCAGTTTTATGTCATTACACATGAGCACATGAGTGAATTATAAATGAAATATATTGAAACCATTTAGAAAAAATAGAAATATGGCAAACTCATTGATACATCAAAATCATTCAACCGAAAATCCATAATGAAACTGATAAGTTCTCTTCAAATCATATAATTTGTAGTGATTAAGTATATCAAAACTTTAAGAATCCATAAATATCTCATAAAACTAATAAGAACTAAATCAGAAAATCATAGCTTGGCAGAATCTCTGACCTAGAAAAATTTCCTCTGCAATTAGACCCATCATATAAAAACTAACCTAACAATAACTCAAGTATAACAATTTATATGATAAATTGAGTTTTTATCATATAACCATTATCCCAAACCTATTATAGATTAATTATAGTTACGAGTATATACAATTATAATAATTTAAAAAAAAAAAAACAAAATTGGTGAAGAATAATAATAAATTCATATACTTTTTAGAAAAACTAGATTTACGGATATAGATTTCTAGTACTTCGATTGCGGAAACATAGATACAATATGATTTTTATATTTATATTCTTATTCTGTGTCAGATATTATGCTTCAAAAAGACTCTTATTTATTCAACATGACATCCAGAACAGTTCCAAACACCGTTAATGATATATATATACTATCAATATCAATATTAATTATACAAAAATTTCTAGGTTCATACAATAAATTTTCCATTTGAACTGCAATTCATTAGATTATCCTTTTTGTGGCTTATAAATTTTGCAGTATAGTAATTGTGACCAAAACATTTTAACATCTAATAGCCCAATTTGAATAAAATAGAATGTTAGTACGGATTGCACATCCTTAATTTGAATTTTAATTATTTTTTTATCCATGTGAATTCTTATCTAACTAACGTTTTACAGTTAAAATTATTTAAAATTTATAAATTTATTAATACACAAAGAAATATTTAATTTTTGCCTTTATCTATTCAACTCTTTTAAATAAATTTTTCTTATGACGGAATTTTAGTGGGTCAACATATTTGTCTAAGTGTTTTTTGTAGAAATCTGTTGAGATTTCCATTGAGACTACTAGAGTGTCGGTAAGTGCAAATGTTAACAACCCCTTTAAAGCCTATGGCAAAGTAAGACATTTCTTATAAAACGTTTCAAAACACCACCTTTATATTAGTTATAATTTATTTTACTTAAAAACTGTATTTGTAATCTTGTCATATTCCGTTTTAATATCTTAAATAAGATATCAATATTGAATGGAAAAAAAATATTCTTGAACTTTTTTATTCTACTTAAATGTTAAATAAAAAAGTAAAATATTCCTGTAAACTTGTGGTGCTCTGTGCTTTTCCCTTGTGTCAAAATTTTTTATGTAACTATCTTTTGTCCTTTCTATGCAGAATTCTTAATAAATTTATTTTTATATTGCTTTGTAAATATTTAATAAAGAAAATTTAAATTTTTAATATAGTATGCCAGAAGAAGGACTCTGTTTTTGGATAGGAAATAAATTATTTCTCATAAAATTGTATTATTTAAATATAATTAAAACAAAATTATTCAGTTACTAATCTCTAGAACACTACATAATTAAAATGATATGAAATATTTGTAAAAATGAAATAAAAAATTTATTCAATTTCATATTAAAACTATTGCTTTAAGTAAAATATAACAAGAAGTATTATATGCTTATCGATAATTTTGGTATTCTTCGAATAGTTCAAATATTCAGATAGGCATACCTTCTTTATGACTAAACATTCTATGCAAAAACTATTATTCTAATATTAAGAATCAATTTATCAGGGATGAGCTTTATGTAAACAGCTATTATTAATGTAGTATTAATAGGGCAACACACATATATACGTACATACCTTTTAATTTCGTCCATTAAAATAAGTTCATGCCTTTGTTTTTAAAAGTGTTCAATAAAAATACTGAAGTCTCTGAACCGAAAAATTCAATTCCATGGGTTTCATTTAAAAAAACTAATAAAAATAAAAAAAGTAAAATTGGCTTTGTCGTTGTTTTAATATTTATAACTTAACAAATTTTTTCTTCGAATTATTAGCAATCTTTTTTTTTTTGACATAAAATTCAACGTTAATACAAACTAATTTCTATCAATTTTAATTGACAAAATCTTTCTTTCATCAATTAATCTTTCCGAATTCAGTTAACGTCACCATACAGCCGACTTGTTTTATATATTCTTCAAGATTATATGTTTAAATCTTGCAACAACAACTTTAAAAGATGCTAAGTTAGCTTTAGAAAAAGAAAAGACATTGGGATTGGAGACTACTTTATGTACTTACCAAAAGATGATATGAATTTTCATCATTATGAATTAAGACCATTGACGATTGGTATTTAATAATACTTGAAACAGCTGTATGGTCAGCCATTCAATTGTTCAATTATTGAAAATAATATAAAAAAGAGTTTTTGTTGCTGTAGTTCATTACTTTTCGAAAAACTCTTTGTAATTAACTAAATATAAATAATTTTATTAATCTTAATTGAATCTTCTCAACGACATACATTATTTATATATATATATATATGTCATAAGGCAGAACGTTTGTTCCAATAAATTTTTTAAAGATTCAAGCATATTGTTAAAAACATAAATAGTAAATAATCCGTCATTAAATTTTGATCTAACAAGACTGTCAGTTCTAATATGAAAAAAAAGTTAAAGTCTTCTGCGTTGAAGCCAAAAGAGAGCTATTAATTTTAGTATATTGGATACCTTTGATTAAAATTTTTTTTTGTGCAAATCCTTCTATCAGACACTTCACTCGCCATACCGAGTAATATAAAATGTGTTTTTTACAAACTTAAAACTTTACCTAAATGAAATTCCAAACTCCGGAAAGATCTAAGAAAAACTTAAGCTTGAAAATTGCCTTCATTTAAGCTCACAAGCCAAATAAAGTAAATAAGAAAAAACTTAGATACTTCACTGAACGGTGTGCGTCCTGCCACAGCCTCAATTTATATTTACAGTGCTTTTGCGGCTTATAAACGTAAACGCAGCATCAATTTTACACCGAAAAACTTTAAGTAACCATAAGCTAATAAAATAAAACAACAATTTACCCGACACTACTACTCAACGCTGCTCAAGAACAATACTCGCATACAAGCAGCAACAACAATAAAAAGTTTCCTTACGCCGCCAACCCAACAAAAGCATATTTTGTGCACTTGTGTTTGTTCTCTTGTGCTTGCTACTTGTTTACTTGTTAGTTGGGCTATCTTGAAAGGGGCGTAATTGCGGGTCTGACTCTCGTTTTTATTGTTGGCATATAACAGAGTCCGGTGTAAATATCAAATTGTTGTAATAAAACTAGGAGCACTACAACAGCAACAACAACAACAAACAGAAGATTGACAATAAAACCAGCATTTAGGTGCACATCAAGGAAAAAACCTTCTTGATGTTTTGCATATAAGCAAACTAGCATTTGATGCATATGTATGAGTGATGTGCGTGTGCGTAAGCTTTTATGCATTCTCATAAAAAAAGCAACAAAAATTTTTGAGTTGCGTGCAAAAGCCATTCTATTTGCTGTTTTCTTATTATTTTAATTTTTTTTTCGGCATAAGGCATTGTTTACAAGTGCTCACGTCAACAGCGGCAACAGATTTTAGTTTTGCGTTTTTTTACAACTTTCTCTTAAGATGCTCTGCTCCTGGCCCGCTTAATACATTAAAGTTTGATATCAAAATTGCTGGGCTGTGTAAGTCGTGAGTGCTTAGATTTCATTGCGTACATAAAACAAACAAAAGAGATTAAAAATATTAAAAGCAAAGTAAAAGGATTTACTCCGAGTGTGTGGGTCTTTTCGGTGGCGCAGAAGGTAAATTGCCAAAAAAATGTGTACTTTACGATTAGGAGTTTTCGGGTTTGGACGAGTAAACTTTCGCTTTTATCATTTTTACTAAATGTGCCCACATAAAAGTGAATATTGCGGATAAAAGCAGGCAATATAAATTTAAAAATTATATTAATTTATTTAAATACTGAGGGATTTGGTATTTGCTTACCCAAAAAATCTAAAAAGGAAAATCTGTAAACTTCTTTACATTTCACATTATTTAATTTAAGTTAAAGTAAGTATATGGAACAGCCAAAATAAAGCCAAATGGCTTAAAGTGTTTATAGAATTTTGGTATAAAGGTTTAAAAATATAGGAGATGAAAATAATTTCATAATTAATTTTACTATAAATACTATAAATTTTCAATCAACGATGAGTAACTTGGTTTTAAATAGATTTCCATTTTAATGATCCTACTTATTAGTCACTAACACTTTTTTCTAAATATTCAAACAGTATTTTTTTATTGGTTTCTCACCACAGCTACATTTCTATATTTAGAGTAGGTAAAAGCCATAGCGTAGGACTTTAACCCACTAAAATCACCTAATCGGAATGAATGGAGAAAGCGGTCTCTGAAACTTTATTACAGTAATTAAGTTATAGACTTAAAACAAAAAGGCTTAGAACTAAGTATTTAGAAGTCTATGTTTATATAAGCACGAAAGCAAGAATGTTGTATAGGGAGAAGGAAGAATGAATTTATATTCTGTAATATATAATTGTATGTAAAACTTTACCCATTTTATACTCAGAACTTTTTAATAGCGGCAATGTGAAGTTAATATAGAAAACAGGAAAGTCAATGAGTAAAGTATTTTAGTATATGTTTATTATAATATTTTAAATGTTTTCGATCCTACCATTTAATATGTACTCGTAGAATACTTGGTTGGTTGGTTGTAATGGCAGGCCTTCAGATCATTTCTATGTACGTCAATTAGCTATTTTTCGCCGTTCTGCTATTACATTTCGCGTAAGAACCCCCAATATGGAAGAGTATAGCCTAAATTCATCCCGTTCAATAATAATAATTTAATAGGTCGTTCGTCTTTACAAATAAACTGATAAACAGTATGATAAACTGTAAAACAAGTATTTTCCTAAAAATCTATTTCTTCTGAGCGCCAAACCCGGACATTCACAGAGAAAGTGTTTCATGGTTTCTCATTCCTGCAGGTAATAACAGAATATCGAATATTCCTTTTAGAATAGTAATAACAGAGTTCGTAAACTATTAATGTGAATTAATTTAAAAACATTTTAAATATAATTTGATTAAATATGAAACTTCTTTCATATTTCTTAAACATTAATAATGATATTAATGTTGTTAAGAAAATGTGATTAACAAATACTCTGTTGTTCATTATTTTAATTATGATAATATTATTAAATATTAAGTAATTTAAAGCACTTTAATATTTTAATTATAGTTATGGCATTTTAGAACTACGGTCTCTTTGAGATAAGTACTTGCTTATACATCAAAAATGAGTTTTTATTATTTAAATATCTTTTATAATAATTTTAAATATGAAAATTTGCAAAATTACATGAGTGCAAAATTCACATATTTCCTGTATAAGTATATTTTTTTAGAATTCAATTAAAAAGATATTAAAAAACCTTAAAATTTTATTAATCTTCTAAGATGGTTAAATGTAAATCATTAAAACCTGTGCTCACAAACTACGACAATGTATGCCTGCTAATGTGAACGGCTCAAATATTCCCCCAAAATCCGATTTAATTCATATTTTAAAGTTTCTTCAGAAATTCTGAAATTTAGCCAAACTTCAACAAAATCGCAGGAGCTTGAGCAAAACTTTTTCATGAAACAAAAAATAAATAATAATAAAACTTAAAGGTAATAAAGGCAAGAGCCCCGAAAAACAAAACTTCCCATCCCAGGATCACATTGCCAGTATAGCCATAAAGTAAGAAATTTGTTTTGGGGATTTGTTTTAAGCCTGTTGGCTGCGTGTACGGGAAACTTGAAATAATACAGCGAATAACTTATATTGCACTTAACTCATAAAACAGGAAACGGCTAAAATGCGGGTCAATAGTTTTGGGTAGGAGGTCGTCAACTAAACTTTTTGCGCTTCGTAGGGGAGTTAGTTGCTGTTTAATCGTATTTTAAAGAAATTTGTTGTATGAGGACACATTTTTTCAACCATTTGATGAGCCAGTGATGATGGATTAGAGAAGGACGTGTGCATTTGCAGGCGTCTTTAATACTTTCTTAGTATTTATACCCTCGGATTTCGGATTTATATTGAAACAATTTGCCGCATATATTAGCTGGCACGTACGTGGCCATTTAATAGAGAACATATAAGAAAAGTTAAATATTAAGCAAAGAAGAATGTAAGATGCGCTACAAGTTTGGTTGGGTAACTTTTCTAGTGGTAAAGAAAGATGTTTTTGGGTTAATTTGCACAATAATTTTCATTATTAATGCTTATTATATTTAAATAAATAGGTTTACTATGATAGAATTGAATAGAAAATCACCGACGAACTAGAATATGAAGACCATAACACTGCAAGTACGAATGAAAACCAAAAAATCAACTATTAAGTGTGTCCTGTGTTCGGACGAGTATAGAACCTAACTAAAGATGTCATCCATCTCCAAGCAGATACGATATTTTGTTTCTTTAGACAAATCTGTATTGTTATAATAATAATACAGGCCACGATGACCCATTAGATAACCTATAAATAACCTCAGTTCCGATATGCTAAGAAGAGATACTCTTGTAGATTAACATTTGCACAAGCTTTTAAGCCCAAAAATTATTTGGAGTGCCGTAATTTATGGTAGCGACTTCTTGGTTTACTAAAGCAAGATTTAGTTTATTTGAAACTCAGAAGGTTAAGAAATATGTAACAGACATATTTTATAAGTAATTTGCAAATTAAGGTCATAAATCTTTCAATTCTTATCCAATCCCAAGCGAAGATGGTCATACTAAGAATGGCCGAAGATAACAGCCTCATACAGTTTTCTTATTGGAAAGATGCTTATATATTTTTTACAATGAAAACAATTTCGAGTACTGAGAGATACCATTAACCTCAAATTTTGTTTTATTAAACGATTTAAAAGTGA